CGTTAATTTTGTAAAGTAGTACACATATATGTATGACCAGGACATACCAGAACTACTGAATCACTTATTTTGATACTACTGTTTGCTTTCTCATTGTCTTTATGCTGCACCACTCCTTTATTCATTCATTAATTTATCCATCTAACTTTATTTTGAAATTTGTCAATATTCTGGGCCTCCTTTCTTAAAAGAAGAAACCGATCCTCATCTCTCTAATCATACAAGATAGAATATGAAAAAAGGTCACACCTCACCAGTAACATCTCCAACACTAGAAAACAAACTACTCACAACTTAGGGTTCTGCAACTCATGGGCTTTCCCACTTGGTGCCTAAGTATTCTCTTTTAAACTTGTTTCTACGATCCGCAGAGAGACCCCACAAAGATGAAGCAGAAGGATCGATGGACAGAAGTTGGATAAAGAGAGAAGAGAAGCCACATAAAGGAAAAAAGCTGAAAGAGATTGCGATGTGTGCATAGACGTGAATGAGAAAAAGTAATTGTAATTTAGTGCTGTAGTGGCTTGTGAAGGGAACAGTTCATGCACGTTGAGCGGAATCACATGTATTCAGAGAGTGTGGTGGCGGTGACTGCCTCCGATGCGAACAAAAAAATGAAGCGATGAAAAAGAGATTGGAGGAGGCAAGAACAGTGATAGTTGACGGAGGATGCTCGTGTCCAAACATGGGATTCCCTCATACGTACGTTTTCAGACATGGATGGCCTTCCAACACTTAGCGAATTAGTTGTGTGCGTAACCACGACTTAACGAGGAGTGTGTCGGGTGTCACCACGTTCATGCCCCGACCACCATCCCCGCCGGTCACTTCAGTTTCTCCATAATATATCACAAGCTGGATTCCTTAAAATGATTAAACAATTGGAAATTAAAGAGAGGTTTAGAATACCAGTGCGCAGGCAATAAAAAAATAAAATAACAAAGGAATACACTTGACTTACAATCTAATAAAACGCGAGTAGAACAAGTTATTAGGCTGTTTATTAAACTGGCCTAACTAATTAGATTATGAAATTTACTTAAAAATGTAAAGAAACAAATGAAAGAAATGGAGGTGGGGCCACAGGAAAAGAAAGCACAAAACGGAGAGGGCCCACGGTGTCGTTTGGCTGCCCCGTTGGGAGGCAAAGAGAAGGACCCGTTACGGAGTATATGTGGCTGTCGTCCAGAGCACTTGTGATTCCATTTTCAGCCTCCCGAGTCCCCAGTAATTACAAAACTGCCATTGATTGAACCAACTCAGAGCTGAGCATCCTGACATGGAACACACCCATAGAGATAAGCCAAAGCCAAGGCTGTGATATTTGGGTTGTGTGGCGGTGTTGTGCACCTCCACGTATTGGAGATTAATTTGAGCGCCTCAACCAAAGTCCCTGTCAAATCTTTTTGTTGTTCTTGATCCTTCTACAAGGATTTTAATTGTTTCTCGATGGGGAATAATGCTGTTTGTTTTCCCGTGAGAGAAGAGTGAGATATGTTGATATTCTCATGCACTATTGGTGACACGTGAGTCCAAACTAACGGCGTTGTTTACACATATTATATATCACGGAGTAATTCACGTGCAACATTAAATTTTATATATATTGCTTTATTTGATGATTTGAGATTGACTCTGTAGATTTTCTCTGCAATATCTTTAGTCAAGTCAAACCACATGCCATGGCTAACAGTAAACGAAAACAAATTATTTGCACCAACTTAAAATTTTACAAAAGCAAATTTGCTGTCATCGACAAAAATTCCTGTGTCGAGCTTAGAAATTACGTAAGTTATTTCCTCTTGATTTAAATTTTAACTAGGAGATTCTGTGTAATTTAAGATTTTCTAGTTGAATGACCTCGAGAGAGAGCCATGCATATCCAAATTTCCATGATTATCACCTCTCCGATCCTTTGTTTGGAGACTCTGGAAATTTTCATATATATATATATATATATATTTGGATGGAAACCTCATGTGCGTGTGTGTACATATATATTCATTTTCTCATTCTTTTTTTTTATTTATTTACAAGGTATCTTACAAGTTTCACACTTACTATGATTAAATCATGCAATGGAACGGCTGGAAAATCTTGAATGTCTTGATACTTTGAAATGATATACACGAGCACCTTTTTTCTTTCACACTTCAATCGTTATAATTGTTTTTAAAATTAGCTTAATTAATTAATATGATTTTCCCACGTGACAAAAAATTAAGTCATTTCTCAGAACTCAGAAGATTCAAATAAAAAATTTCTCACAAGGACGCGTAACGGTAGTAACTCAATCGTTATATACATTCTTTTCTTTCATTCCTTTTTTGGGCCAAACTCAATTGTTATACTTATAACTATTCTATCTGATATGATTAATTTAAATTCTTTCAACCTATTCTTTTTTCCTATGTACAAGTTTCAATTTCAAGTCTTGAAACTTTTTATACGCTATTTAATTTCTACTCGACGCAAGCTTCAATTTCTAGAGTATTTGAGTGGGATTTTATTTATAAAAAAAAAATCCAGCATTCACACCTCACAATTGGCTTTGACTTTGAAGGTAATAGTTTATTGATTATCATATCATATTATATTGAAGTAAAGGTTTTTAAAAAAACAGCCATGTGTCTTATTCTGTGACTATATTTATTCATAATTCATCTATTCAAAAACTTTTTAATCATGGTATGGTAGACTTTTTTAATTTTTAAAACATTTTCTTAAAATAATGAATAAAAATTATGAGCGTTAGGTGTACATTAAAACGAAAAATGAAAAAAAAAATCTTCTAAAAGTTTTTGCTGATAACAATACAATAGCTCTCTTTTGAAAACCATTTCCCACCAAAATAATTAGAATTGGCCGTACCACTTAATTTTTTGGGAGAATGACAATTAAGGACCTGTTAAGAACATTAATTCTAATTACGGACCGTGAAATTTTGAAATTCTAGTTAAGGACCATGGTCCTTAATTGTGATTAAAAAAATATAATTTGTGAGGTGAAATTCAGTATTGCCACTTGAGAATTCACTAATCCAACTTGAGAAAATTTGTAACATATATTGTAAAAACATGAAACTCCACTTGGAAATGGAATGTTTAACAAAAAGCATCATTTGAAAATTCACTAACTGGACTTGAAAAAATTTTTAACGTATATTGTGAAAACATGAAACTTCACTTGGGAATCGATTGTTTAATAAAAAACACCAATTTGAATAAGTCACTTTTAATTAATGATTCTCAACTGGGGTTTCATTTTTTCACAATATACGTTAGAAATTTTTTCAAGTCTAGTTAGTAAATTTTCAAGTGGCGCTTTTTGTTAAACACTCCATTTCCAAGTGGGGTTTCATATTTTCACAATATACGTTAATAATTTTCTTAAGTTCGGTTAGTGAATTCCCAAGTTGCGTTAGTAAATCCCACCTCATAAATTACATTTTTTTATCACAATTAAGGACCATGATCCTTAACTCTGATTTTAAAATTTCACGGTCTGTAATTAGGATTAATGTTCTTAGCAGGCCCTTAATTGTCATTCTCCCTAATTTTTTTCCCTTGAAAAAATTATGGATATTCCGTCATATATGACCTAATAGTAGCATGCATCAAAACTAAGCAATATGTTATCTCATCTTTTTTTTTTTTCCTGATAGTACAGAAGACAACCAAAATCCGACCCGACGTCCCAGCCAAGGCGTTATTCCTTCATAATCATTATCTCATCTAATCTTATTCTCATGTTTTATTAACGAAATCAGTCTGTGTGTGTATATTTATATATTATGCAACATATTAAAGTAGGCCGTTGAGAATCGAGATAGACTTGATTGATGAAGCATATAACTAGAACCTAATCGAGACCGACTTTTTTCAATATTCTTCCTTTCCAAGTTTTCCTTGAATAATATTTAATTTAAAGTATTAACAAAATCAGATAAATTACACCAATACTCTCGTTGTTCATCATGGTATACATGGAACTAATCATGAACCATAGGCTACTGAAAGAGAAATCTTTCTGCCAATACTAATTTAAAGTATCAAGATCTCATTAGTCTTATGATGTTCTTTCTTTCTGCCGATAACTGGACCCACACTCATGAGTCGATCGCAATTTTTTTTTCCTTAGACTACTGAAAAAGAAAGAAATCCAGAAATGGCATAAGCCAACTGTCACAAATGCAAACCAAGGTTGAAGATGACCCTCAACTGCAAGATTAACACATTCTAACCATTTCGGCACCTGAACCTTTAATTTGCATTCAGAAAGCTTCATTCTACCAAATCAAACACCAACATCTCGGGAATGCTATATAGCCTCAAGTTCCTTGGTTTCACACTCATTATAACATATATACATACGCATATATAATTCGAACCTTCTGGAACCTGGACCGTTCGCTGTACAAATGAAAAGGAGCGATCATCGAGAAAAACAAGCAGGTCACAGCTCAGAAAAACTTGAAAGACAAAGAATGGCGGATTGTTATTGTTGGTAAACCAAAGGGCAAACTTAGAACTTTTTTTCCATGATTATTTATATGATAAACTGTAAAGCAGGTTGAGGCTATCTGCTACAATTGTAGAAAGTTGTCGTTGATAGCGATACGGTATAGTGATGAGTGATATACACATCTATGATCCCTATTCTTTCTTTTCCCTTTTCTGATTTCTTTCACCTTTTAACTTTAGACAACTTGCACTGCTTTTTATATGGGATGGATTAAATTATCTTCTCTGTAACATATTCGCTTTTTAGAATTGACGAGGGTAAGATAGAGAAAGACGTACGATGTCACGTATAAAATAAACTAGTGTTTGACTATAATAATCTGCGGAGCCTCAAAGTTAAACATAAAAATGGCATATACGTAAAAATTTTCTTCCGAAGTAATAATATCGCGTTCTAAAAAGAAAAACTGGCACAGAATATATATATATATATATATATATATGAATATGTATAGAGAGACAGAGAGAGAAATGCAGCGGTAATGATGGAGAAGAGGGACACTAGTGGGCGCAGGATAAGCACGTGTGAGTTGCCTATAGAATGGCACGCTGGCATGTCCATAGCAAAGCCCACTAAAATCATATTCATATTCTTCTTTCTGAGTTCTTGCCCAAATAATATATACTCATCTCTGGAGAAGCAAAGATCAAAAGAAAAACATAAACAAAGTGCCACAGTTTTTGCAGGTCGAATTTTCCGATGAATGATTGGCAGTTTCTGTATTGGGAGAGTAGCTAGATGCTCTTCTTACCTCAGGTTGACATCTAAAGCCTGAACCCTTGAGTTTTTCTAATTCAACTATCGATATGTTGTTGAATAGAATCTCTCTCTCTCTCTCTCTCAAGTTGTTGGTTGGTATTGTTTATTTTACTGTGTCTGTGAGGCCTCTGAAATCTGATTGACTCTGTCGGGGTGCGAGCATGTCTGAATTTTATGTCTTGCATTGCCCTCTAGCTCTTTGTTTAAATGTCCAAATCACATGTGTGGCAGTTTGGCTGAAATGACATAACTTTGAAGTGTTTGATCTGCTGGGTTTCTTTCAATTATATCATTTTTCTAAATCCTTCTTATTAATTTAGAATATATTGTTGCTCTCAAAAACAGGGGTCTTGGTTTTCTTTTCGTCTCGGAGCTTTTACATCCTCTCTCCACCATGTAAGTTCTAGCCTCCTCCCTTTTTCCTTCTGAGACCTCATGGATGCTTTTTCTTTCAAGGGCTCTGTCTGATTCTCTCTTGAGCTCTTTTTGTTCAGTTTCCACATGGGCCTGCTCAGGCAATAAGTGATCTTCACTTTGATAATTTTGCAGAACCTTTTCCAGTAGCTGTTGGGGGGGAGTTAATAGCGAACTATAATTCAGCTAGTTGAAGCATGCTGTAGTGGAGGAGAAGTTTATGCTATAGTGGGATAGAAAAATAAATAGTCATGAAGTTTATGAAACTAGGATCTCGTCCAGATACCTTCTACACTGCTGAGGCAGTTAGGTAAGTGAGGCAAGACATTAATAATCAGCCTGAGATTTTAATCTTATATGATGCATCTTTAAGATATAACTCTGTGTGCAGGTCAGTCTCTTCTGAAGTTTCCAGCGACCTCATAATTCAAGTGAAAGAAAGTAGATATCTTCTTCACAAGGTAAGCTCGTTGATAAATTAAGGGTATCAACAACATAAACTATTGATTTTTTTTTTTCCTCTCTCTACTTGTTATCTGAAAGTTCTTGCTGGTTCTGCTCAGTTTCCCCTGCTGTCTAAATGCCTGCGCCTACAAAGGTTATGCTTAGAATCACCAGATTCTTCTCCACAACAGATAGTTCAACTGCCTGATTTTCCTGGTGGAGTGGAAGCATTTGAACTTTGTGCTAAGTTCTGTTATGGTGTCACCGTCACTCTTAGTGCTTATAACATCGTAGCTGCTCGATGTGCTGCTGAATACTTACAGATGACAGAGGATGTGGAGAAGGGGAACTTAATATATAAGCTGGAGGTTTTCTTCAATTCTTGTATTCTTCATGGTTGGAAGGATTCTATTATGACTCTACAAAGCACCAAAGCTTTGACTTTGTGGTCAGAGGACTTAGCAATTACAAGCAGATGCATTGAAGCCATTGCCTCTAAGGTGTGGAGCCACCCCTCGAAGATAAGTTTGTCTCATAGTCATTCTCGAAGGGTCAGGGACGATACATCTTGCAATGGAAGCGAAAGTCAGAGACATAAATCAGCAAGTAAGGGATGGTGGGCTGAGGATTTAGCAGAACTGAGCATAGACCTATATTGGAGGACCATGATAGCAATCAAATCTGGTGGCAAGTTGCCCTCAAATATCATAGGAGATGCATTGAAAGTTTATGCTTCTCGCTGGCTTCCTAATATCTCAAGAAAAGCACAACCCAATAAGAAAGTTGCTTCTGACTCTGATTCAGACTCTGCAAGTGAAATAACCTCAAAGCATCGTTTGCTTTTGGAATCAATAGCAAGCTTGCTTCCGGCAGAGAAAGGGGCTGTTTCTTGTAGTTTCCTTCTTAAGCTCTTGAAAGCAGCCACTATTCTCAATGCTTCTTCCTCCTCAAAAATGGAGTTAGCTAGAAGAGTAGGACTTCAGTTGGAGGAAGCTACAGTGAATGATCTTTTAATACCCTCATTGTCTTACACCAATGATATGCTGTATGATGTTGAGTTGGTGATGACCATATTGGAACAATTCATGTTACAAGGTCAGAGTCCCCCAACAAGCCCACCAAGAGCCAGGCTGGCAGTTGAAAGGAGGAGGTCGCGTTCAGCTGAAAATATTGATTTTGAATTCCAGGAGAGTAGAAGGTCATCTTCAGCATCTCATGGCTCAAAATTGAAGGTGGCAAAGCTAGTGGATAGGTATCTCCAAGAGGTTTCGAGGGATGTGAACTTGCCCATGTCCAAGTTCATTGCTCTTGCTGAAGCCATGCCAGATTTTGCCAGACATGACCATGATGATCTCTACAAAGCCATTGACATTTATCTCAAGGTAAAATATTAGAAGATAAAATGTTTGTTGTTATGCAATTCCTGCCTTTTATTTATTTATACTTTCACATTTTAGCATGTGGGACACCAGTAGTGGATAATCTGCTCTCTCGACCTCAAAATCTTGTCTTATTCAACATTTATTGCCAGTTAGGTGTAGGCTGACCCACCATAAATTAAACGTCAACAGATCCTCGTTGTGAGCGATATACTGCTGGTTTTTATTCAGGTGTGTGTGAATTTACCTGGCTAAACAAAGAATTAACTAATATTTATACTACAACGCTACGTAGATGAGGAGAAATTGACAAAGAAATACATTTTCTCAAGTTCTTCACCTGAATGATTGTATGCTAAGCTGAAATTTCCCACTACCAGAACTCTATGCATGAGGTAGCATCAGCATGTCTGGCTCCCAGTTTAGAAGAACTTGTAGAAACTAAGCCATTGAAGGAAATAACCAGTCTTCAAAGTTTCTAGCTTGCATGAGCACTTATTTAATTAGTTTCGTGTAACTATAATTTATACCTGGTTTAATCCAGGCTCATCCAGAACTCAACAAAAGCGAAAGGAAAAGGCTCTGTAGAATCCTTGACTGCAGAAAACTGTCCATGGAAGCTTGCATGCATGCAGCACAGAACGAACTACTCCCCCTAAGGGTCGTAGTCCAAGTACTCTTTTTTGAGCAAGCGAGAGCTGCTGCGGCTGGTGGCAAGGCGACAGACTTGCCAAGCAATCTCAGGGCACTACTCACTGCACATGGCATTGACCCATTAAAACACACTGGTCCATTGAGCACAACTACAAGCTTACATGCAGATGATCAATGGAGTGTTTCTGGCCTCAAGTCACCTAAATCTAGAAGTTCAACTCTCAGGATGAAGCTTGCCGAGGATGATGACTTGGATGGACATGGTGTTACCCCCAATGGAATTGAGAGAAATTCCAAGCTCAAGGCTCTTCGTGGTCTTCCCAATCAACCCAAAAAGATGCTTAGTAAGTTGTGGCCCGCCAATAGAGGCACTAGTGAAAAGAATTGAGTGAGTTTTCTTAGTTTTCTAGCTGGGAATGATAATTTAAAGGGTACCCATATACTCTTGTTTTTCTTCTTTCTATCTTCTGCCAAATGCGTTGTAACTTTCTTAGGAAAATCAGAGAATCCAAATGTGCATTGTTGATGTAATCTATTATAATAAGAAACGAGATTTTCTCGTCATGGGATTAAATCTCTTTGGCAAATCCCATATTTGAAAAAGCTGTTACAGGAATCTTTGGCCAAGTTAGTGACTGCTCGTGGGGCCAATTTTGCTGTGTTTTGTCTTCAAATCTGCAACACACGTCTCTGTTCATCTAAGTTAGAGCTCCTTATGTTGGGTTCTGACTTTGTTGACAAATATATTCTCAGTCTCAGTATTTCACGTGTCCGGCAGAATGCAATCCTGTTTTGTAATATGAACATCGTTCATATTTGTCTTATTTATTTGTATCAACCCAAATGATCTCGTCCTTGTTGAAATGATATCGACTTACATGCACTTCAACTTGCATTTATTGTTCTGGTTTCTTGCTGCCACAAAACTAGTATTATTATTATTGATAAGGAGGTTGATGAGACATAAAGACATAAGGATGACGGGGAAAAAGAATCAGTATCAGTATCACCATTGATTAGATATGCTTGGTTCTAACTAGTATTATTATTAGATTAGTGACAACTTAAAAGGTATCTCTCTATATCTTATCCTGGGGGCATAGCATGTGCCAGACTTCCACATGTACATTGCTAGAATTTCATAAGCAAACAGACCCAAGGGCAAATACTATACATACAATGCTGATTAAGATTCTCCATAAGACAATGAACGACAAAAATATCTTCCAGACCAGATTCAGACATATATATATATAATTATAAAAAGGTTAAGATAAGTAAACTAATAAATCAATGAAGTGTTATTAAGTCAAGCCACTGTATAGTGTATGAGAATATTTTCTTTATTATTTAGTAAACCTTTATGATTAACTCCTCTTTAAAATATATATATATATATATATATCGAGTACTTACAAACGCCACTTGCGATATTTTGTTTGGTTTTGATGCTTCCTTGTCTTCCACAAACATCATCTACTTGTCATTCTAATTGTTCACGATGATATTTTTACGAGAACACTATACATACTGAGGAGATTAATTGTAACTACGTTGAAAAACAAATTGTTGATGGGCGCATTTCGTATGCCTCTAATTGCTTTTAAGCAAATCAATTGACTTATTCAACAAGATAACATAATTCAAAGCGTTCTCAGAGACGGATGCATTTATTCTTAAGAAATTAAAGTGAAGAATTTTACTTGTGAAAAATCTGAAATGGATTGCAATCCCCACAACCTAAAGATAATTTTCAATTTGGACCCCCCACCTATTGAGTGCTAGATCTGTCGCTGAATGTTCTTAGACCTTTGTGAACAAACTCATGTTCGTCTCTGTTCCTATGTCTCGAGTTTGAAGGAGGTGGGAGGGCAGAAATATCATTAATAACGCAATTAGATTTGAATTTTCAGTTAAAGGATGATAAGTTTAATTAATGTAGGTGGTTGATAGATTGCGCTCTCATTGCAGTCAATTTTACAAAGCCAGTAGTTAGATTGAGTTATTACAACATTTACTAGAAAGAAGCATCTGGCAAACTTGAAGCCACCAATATCTCCCTGTATGTGCGTGATAATGAGTAGTTTCAACTTTCAACAATGCCATGAAGCAGATCAAGAATTTTTTTTTTTATTTTTTAAAAGCATCATTGCTGAAACAGAGTCATCATTCATCATAGCTTCCTCATCTGAAGCATGGAAGCACGGATCTCTTTGTTTTTTCTTCACCTATGGTACTAAGCACGGATCTGTCCCTTTTGCTTGTTGGTCCAGCTACTTCTTAATTCGTTTGTAATTTTTTTTTTCCTTTACCAATCCACATATAGTCAAGAAAGATATTACATCAACCACCTTAACCTACTCCACTAATTCTTGGACGATCGCTTAAGATATCAGTCATTAGTGCTTAATTACATATGATGGACATTGAATTTCTTCTTGTTCTGTGTCCAAAGATGAGGAATTGTCTAGAACTATTATGGCACCAAGTGATAGAGATTGCTTGGCGCATGGTCCACAAGAAGCTCAAAGAATTCAAAGAGACATACGCTACAAAGCTAAAGTCCTAGAGTTCAAGTTTCAAATGCTGAAGGATTCAGTATAAGGCATTAGAGACCCAATAATTAAAGCCTGGATTAAAGTTATGAAGGAATCTTTGACTTGTTTGGCTAAGGAGATCCAAGAACAAGAGTCCCTATCCATTAATGAGACCCACACATGCAAGGGCCTTTCATTAAAAGAGTTAGATAAAATTCAAGCCCAAGTCCAAGAAGATCCAAGTCCAAGTAATCAAAACCTGAGCTTATCAATTGCAACATGTGACAATAGGATTATTTGGGGAGAAAGGCTTAAGGGAGATGCCACCTCTAGTCATATCTTGGAAGACCATTGTGTGATCCTTTAGCATCCTTGAAGTCAACATTGAAAAAATAAGAGGCAAGATTCTCCTAGATTTGAAAATCCTTTGATTGCTCTAAATTAATTAGTTAAATATTTTATTTAAGTTTTGTTTCTTATTTTTAGATTATAATTTTATCTAATAATGTAATCTCATAATTTTAGGAGATACAATCTCTAAATTATTTGGTTTAATTTTATCATTTTGTTAGTATTTTCAAATTAGGATATTTGATTTAGAGTTTTTTGGTATTGAGTAAACCTATATATATGCATGCACTTCTTCATTGTATGGCAAGTTTGATTGGAATAATAAGAGTGTTTTTTATTTTTAAAATTTATAACTCTTGTGAGTTTCGTGCTTGTGGTAGCATTTTATATTGAATACTGACGTGATCAAGAGTCTAATCAATGTTTATAGTGTCTTCAAAAATTAAGATTGTTAGAGGCAAGTTCTTTAAAGAATCTTTTCCTTAATTCATATCTTTTCATGTATTCTCATTTTCTTTTCCTTTGTCTTTTCTTCTTCTTTCTCGTTTCTTTTTTTTGTATTTTTGTTTTATTTTGACGTTTCAAGATTCTATTCCTATCTAGATGGTTCTGCTTTTGCATCCCTTATCATCAAGTTTTTCAAAAGTCTTGAGTAAAACCCAAATGATGTTTCTAGTTGTGTTGGTTGTCTTTCCACTTTATTACATGATCACCAAGTGGAAGAGGATCTCCTGCAAAATAGAATATTTGCTGATTAATTTGCTCATTGTGATGAATTAAGCCAAGGAAGACCAGAAATGGGATTAGTACACATGATGTTTGGTGGAGCTTTTGCTCCTGCAATGCCTGAAACATGATGGTAGAATGACAATATACATTGGAGAGATTAAGATAGAATGACGACAGCAGAATCCACCAACTATATTTAGGCTGGCGACAGTATGATTATTTATGTGTTAGAGGTATGGTTGGAGATGCATTGAGTTATGAATCATGATTGGTATTGGATCTGAACCATAAAAATCCAAACTTGAAGGTTTGGCAGACATTGAGTGGGTGTCCATTGCCTTCATATATGCTTCCCACATTCATATATATCCCACTATTTCAATTTCAATTTTAATTTGTGTCAGGTGAGGGAAAATTAATGGAATTATCAAATTCCATATTTGTGGACTGCGACTCCAATGGATAAGATGCCTTCATCTTATCAGCATGTTATAGCGATGACGACATGATCACGTTGATGTAAATCGATAAATATAACTAATATTGATATTTTAAATTTTTAATGATATATATATATATTGCACTTTTAGATTTTTAGTCGTTAATTTTATCTCAAATTTTACTTTCATTCCTTAATTGTATTTAATTTTTTCTCACTTATATTCTTCAAATTTATTTCCTTTTAATTTATTATTTTAACCTTAAATTCTTTTTGTGCTAAATTTTCAGTAGAAGGGTTTCGATTTTTGAATGGGTCGAAAGTGAATGGTTGAAGCTGACCTAGACTGCATGATGTTAGTGTGGTAGTTGGACCACTACTTACTGGTCTGCTTCTTTTAGGCCCAACAAAAAAGTCTACAATGTGTGGGCCGGCTTTAAATGAGTTTAAACTCCGACTTGTGGAGTTCCCATTGACAGTTAGAAGAATCTCACTTCCTGAATTTCACTGTTAACAAAATTTTGGTACATAAATTTACCATAATTAAAAATATTTGATTAAATATAATCATATGAAATGCTCGCGACTTCCTTTAATAATGAACCCTTCATAGCTTTCTGAATGAATGATGTTTAGGAGTTTTTAGCATGTTGAAATCCTTTAATAAAGTTACATATTGTGTATTTACATGAATTATATTTTCATTATAATTGTAGGGGTAATTTTAATTATGAGAGGCCCGTGAATGAAGAGGATGCAAGGATTTAGGACGAGTTTGGTGTATGTTTTTTGACTTCGAAAACGAAAAAGAAAAAAAAATCATTTAGGCAAGTATTCTGGATTTAAATATTTTTAAAATTGTTCTCGTTTTTTTTTAAAATAAAAAAAATGAAAACAACTTATGGCTATTTTTGTTTTATATTTTTATTTTTAAAACCTATTACATTTAACTATTATAAATTATCTTCAACTATCATCAACCGTTATTATAGGCTTTCATCATTAATTACACTAGCAACAATCACTCTTAACCTTTTTTAACTCTAAAATTATTTTTACTTTTGTATAATTAAATAAGTTTTTATTTTTTAAAAAAATAAAAATTGATTTGCAAAATAACTTAGAGAGAGAGAGAGAAACAAAAAACCCAAACATGCGCTCGATAACTTGTCTTATATGTTCTGTCGTGATTAAAAAAATAAATAAACATAGGAGATAAAGAGGTGGGTCTCACATATATTTATCACCAAAATTAACCCCTCTCCCAGCTCAGACATTTAGTGCCAGAAAAAAAATATAATCATAAATTTTTATAATTTCATCATGTCTTTAATTTTAGTCGTTGTAATTTTTTCTTGTATCAATTTTTATAAAGATTAAAAACATTAAAAAAACTAAAATTTTAAAAATAAAGCTACTCAATCTTTTTGAAATTATAAAAATTAAAAGTATTAAAAAAATTATAAGATCTAGAAGTAAAACACAATAGGATTATGGAATCAATTCTTGTGTTTTCTCATAAGCTTCTTAA